AAGTAAAAAAAGAACATTTTTGTTACAAAAACCTAAAATATAGTCTTAAAAACTAAAAAACTGTTTAGAAAATTTGTTGTTGAAGTTATAAAGTAAGGAAGTTTTGACAACTGTTTGGCATTTCTCAATACGAAACATCAGATTAATTTTAACAGATTTAAAGCAATTTGAAGGCTTATTGAGTCTAATTCGAAGAATAAAATGTTGTATTCAACTCGTCTTCGTGTAAATCGGACGTTTTATTCCAACTCGTGGTTTAATAATCCACTCGGTGACATTTACACTCAAACTCGTCGAATAAATAACTATTAAGTCGTAACGATCCTGATTATTTCTTCATTAAGAAAAATTGAATACAAATCTATGCACATATCACGCTGAGAATGAATTGAATAATACGACATAATATTATTATAAAACAGGAAATATAAATTTATTTTATAACAGATAATAAACATAAACTTTGAGTGTTATAGTATCTCGTTAAAGCTTCAAGTTCAACAGAAATTCAGGTTACCAAAGTTGGTGTAAAACTCAAGAACTACCTAAACTTAACTTTTTTGTTAAGCAATAAATAACTTGTACTATAGTACTATAAAAAATGGAAGGAAACAATAAAATAATAATTTGCAATTACTTTCTAATTAAGGATATGTTCCAGCGAGTTGATAATGTCTATTATTTGTTAAAATACGTAAGTAAAAATTTCTTTGCAAAAATTATAGATACGAAACCTCTGCCGCACCTGAAATTATTTTAAGTATACACGGTGTTTTAGAAATGAATTAAGATACCAACTTATATTTTTTTAATAAAACAACCCACATTTTTGGATATAACTTTTTGTCTTTCAGCTGAATGATTTGATTTCTTTTTGAAATTCAATACACAAAAACTAAGAAAAATAAAATTATTACTGCTTTAAAAAAAAGTAAAGTATATTAAAATTTTTAAAGTATTAGAGCCATAAAGTTAAAACTTTTTCCTTTTAAGTACTTTAGATTTTGTGTAATAATAAGTTTTAAAAAAGTATTTGTATTGTAATTTCTGAGATATACTGTGTAGTTGAAAATAATTTTTTTGCATAGTGATTATGAAAGTTTTCATTTCATCACGATTAATCGCATAGAAAGTAATACTTTTTTGAACGATTTCTATAGTTTTATTTCTATAGTTTCTATAGAGTTCGTTACAAAGAGCTCGCGATACATTACGATTTGATTAATCAAATTGATATCTTTTTGGTCTTTGGGGTTCTTGAGGTTATCACAATGCAAAAAAATGTTGTGTACAACTCGTTTAGAAAGTCCTTTTTTCACTCATTTGCTTGATTAACTCGGACAGAACCCTTGCTAATCAACTGCAAATTCGTGAAAAAAAGTATGACTTTCAAAACAAGTTGTACAAATAACTATTATATCAAACAGTAGGAAGAAACTGAAAGATTGATGTGTTAACCATTAGATATTAGTTTCCATTATGAAACGCATTTGAATGTTTTAAAAACGATGTTATAAGCATCAAATTAAGTTAATGTGTCAAAAGTTTAAACAAAGTTTGCAAGTTAATTTTTGCCCGGCGCATCCACCATTTCACGTTTTAATCGAGAATAATTTCATTTCTTGTCTGGTAAATATTTATTGTTGCTAGTGTTCTACTATACTATTAAACGTATCTCAGATTATAATTAGAAGTGTAGAAAACCGCAAAAGCAATTAATTCTCTTAAAAGAATTTCTCACAACCTTTTGTATTGCATCGATTCGACACAGCAAAACCAAATTTCCACAATTCTTTCAAGTTTCATTATTTACGACACAAACCTTTGTTTTATAATTACAAATTCATTTTTTTTCAATGTGTTACAAAAGCTTCCTACACCTCATTAAAAGTTAAAGGCTTAACATTAAAGGGTAGGTTAAATTTCACGATGGCATAAAAATCTGAGTATTGATCACCCGGAACGGAAATTCGCGCCAGGTTTACCAATTTCATTTCAAGAAAGTAATTTGTTGTTGCGGATCATTTTGCAAAATCGGTCAAACATCCCCATCAAATCCAAACTTGCTAATTACTAATCACCACACACCTTTCAAACTTGATCAAAGTTTTAACAAACCAAAATTATTCAACACCCACTAACAAGATCTAATCTTACGTTAAACACTATTTTTAATTTTTATTGTAATAGAAAAGCAACAATTTTTCGCACCTGAGGGGCGCTTGCGCCTTTAAAACACGCCCTCCTGTGTATAATGAGCGCGGTACACAACTTTTATTAATCAGAAAGTTGTCTCACTGTCACCCTTAGAAGAACCCACCTCTTTTACCGGAACAACAGGTGAGTTCGACGTGGTTTTTGCTTGCACTCCCCGCCCCACACCTAGCCACAATCACTTAATAAACGAAAAAATTAAATAATTTCACTTGTTTGGTGTAATTGTTTTGACAGAATTAACGGCCATCTCAAATAATAATGAGATTAGGGTGACCACTAGGGAGCAGGCCATTAATTTTACCGCTAATAAAATACGAACAGGAGCTGCTACTTTACTAAAAAAACATCATCTGTTGGGTTTATTTAAAGATATTCATGCGTGGTTGACTTTAATTTTCACGAGAGTTTTTGCAAGTGAAAAAATAGTAAAATTGGTTATTTTATGATTATCTGAACAAGGGAGTAAATTGTTTTAAGTGGTTGTTAAATTCATATTTTTTCAGAAGTTTCAAAACTTTGTAACGTTATATAAATAATTCACAACAGCTTTCTGCTTTTAAATATGAATGGTAAACCATACAAAATCACCACTAGCCAAACTTAACAAAACAAAGAAACATCAATATTTGCGTAACATTTTCATAAAGTTGTTTAAAAATAATTAGTATCCAAATTAAGGTAAAAATTATTTCAACGAGCAATAATTTTATAATAACAGAGCTTTGAAACACCTACAGAGACAATTTAAATTAGTTTTAATGCACCAATATGATTTGTTTACTTTTAATAAATAACTATCCCGAAAATCGCAATTGTGATAAAAAAAACAATATTTTTAACACGGCTACAATCAACAACTAAAATTAAATCCTGTTTGATTTTTCTGAAATTCAAACAAATTGGGAGTTATTTTTATGGACAGATATGATAATCCGATTTTGCTGATAGACTAATTTGATTACGGAGAGTGAATATTTGAAGGATTTATGCATGTTATGCAGCGTTCTTATTAATTTTGCGAATTATCGAAATATAAAATACAAAGCGGTGCCGAGGGGCCTGTCACATACATCACTGCTTTGCTCTAATGTGTCTTCACTAAGATGGATTTTTACAAAAGAAAATAAAAATTAACTCGATGTTTCTGTGATAACGCCTTTGTGTTTGTATTCCATTAAAAAAAATTCAGTTTGATAAGATATTCGTTTGAGGTTAGGGTAAAAAAATAATAATTTATCCAGTTTAGAAAAAGTCTGAATTTACTTGACACTAACGATAAGAGAGTAATTTAATCGCTGTTATAACAGTCAAGTTACGAGTTAATTTACACTCCCATTCATATACATATTTTATAATTTAATTATTTAAAATTAATCTAACCACCCAGCGGAAAATAAATTTGCTTAATTACTATAGAAATGATGACACGTTGTCACCAGATGAAAATTCTTAGTTACTCCAATATCAGTCGTAACAATGAAATCGATTCATAAATGTAATATTTGTTACTTTCTAGACATTCCTTAGTATTTTTGGTAAAATGAAACTCAGGATTATTTGCCCTAGAGGGTGAAATATTACGCTGCAGCTACAATAGTACACCGAGAAACGAGAAAAACTTTATCATTTGATATGAAACTAAAAATTATATATTTGTAAATTTAGGGAAATTCAATGTGAGGGAATTTTACAATTATTATACGTATACAGGCTGCGCCAAGAGAAAAATACTATGTAAGGTAAGATACCAGGAACATGGAAAAAATGTTAAAAAATTCTATCTATAAAAATTATGAGAGTTTAAATTTTGCCCTTTGACTCTTTTTATTTCTGTTGGAAAAATACTTTTCCAAGTTTTTTTGCTACAAGCAGTTAGAAGAGGAAACAAGGAAGCTGTAGCCTAAATTGTATCTCTGTTTAATGTTATTTGTGGCTTTTATTGGCAAAATTTTTGTACCTTTACCTTCAAAAGGATCGTGAGATCAGAATTTTTAGAACCACTTCTTAGTTATTCTCAGAAATCCAAACACAAATTTTCCAATAACATTCTTTAAGACAGCTCTTCAAGGGTTTTAGCTAATTTTGTGCTTTATTAATGAGAAATGTTAAAAATTGTATAATATTAAAAAATAAAAATGTTAAGTAAAGGGTGGCAAAAAACCTAAACATATTACATATTACACTGACAATATGCTACAAATAAGGTGTCACTATTTATGTCGATTTTTAGCATTTTTTTTATTTTTCAGTCTATTTTGTCTATGCCATTAGAAAAAAAAATGGTGAAAGACTCGGATGAAATATCCATAACAACAATTCTAAATTGTTTAATTGGTTGTTAAAAAAAATCTTTATTGGCCAAAATTTGAAAACTAAATTTTCATATTTAGGAATAACTTTATTTCGGATTAATACAACATTGACGTAAATTCTAAAATTTCTCTCTAAAATTTTATTGTTTTTTAAACACAGGGTGATTCAAAACTCTCGGACCATCTCTGGGGCGGTGATAAAGAATATTAAATTGACTCAAAAGTCCCCATGACAAAAAATTAGAGATTTTTTTCATGAGATGTAGCTTTTGAAGGGTTAGATTTTTGGGCTAAGTTTTTGGCCGTTCAAAATATGAATTTGTATCTTTTGGTATAAAAAATTCAACAGTAAATTAAATCCGACAACATCGGAAAAAAAAGAGCTAAGGTGCCTCAACATGATAATTTAGAAACTGTCAGTTCTATGAGTTCTGTTTTTTTCTCAGAAACTAAAGCTTGAAAAAAATTTGCAATTATTTTTAAGCTTAGCTGAAAGTCTTTTATTACCATTCGAAAGTTGTTGTGAAACTTCTAAATCACCTGTATAAGAAGTGGCCTTTTTTCTATTACAATATTTTATTTTAGCACCCTAGTTCCCAAAATTAAAACAAACTACATGTCAAAATTAAATAGCCTTAAAATTGTAATTGTTTCAAGTAGTGAAAATAGGTATCCTTTTAAAATATATAGTTGGCCTTCTTTGAACCAGCCTGTATTTAATTTGCACTTTGACGATAATGTAAATTAAAGTATGTTCTAAAAATGTTTATATTAAACTTACTAACTTTTACTACTCTGTGGAGATTCCCAGACAAGCTCTCCATTACTCCATTAGTGTTCATCAATGTTTTATATAAAATTCTATGAAAATCTTTGTTTCAATTTAAAAATAAGTGCAAAACATATCTCTACACTTATTCAATTTTCATATTTAAAAAGCTAAAAAGCTTGGGAGTTATTGCCCGTTGCTATTTGTGATCAGATAAGATTTTTAAATAAAATTGATCCAAAAAATTGTTTTCTGGATAAAAAAGCGATCAAAAGAATAACAAATTTCGGTTTTGATGCTTTCTGAAAGCTCCAAAACTGTTCTATAGAACCAATTTGCAATTATTATAGAAGAATCTAACTATTCCAGCTCCCCAATTGAATGAAAAATCAGTCAACATTGACGTAGGAGGGTTTGAGACATGCTCCCCACTTAGTTAATTACATTTTTCCGCAATTACCCCCGGGATTAGCCACTTATTAATTTTTGCGTAGATTTTGAGCAAAGTTCTTATCTTTCCAGAGCATTATTAAAACATCAAAGCTTAAGAAGGATAATGTTGGGAGTGCAAGTTTGGATTTTCGTAGGTTTGAGCACTTTAGTCAATTGCCAGAGCATAATCGAGGCCGGTTTAGAGCCTCTGGATGCGTCCGGAACCATCGAATGCCACCGGAGGATGTACACATATCGAGTGACACAATCGGACGAAAACGGCAAACAATGTTGGGACACACTTTCCGTTATGGCCTGTTGGGGGCGATGCGATTCAAATGAGGTATGGATTTATTCCACAATTTAGCTATTTCAATGATTTATCGCCGGTTTAATTGGAATTTTGTTCTTCACGATCGGAATTATTTGTCGACCGGACCGTAAATAAATCTCTACAAACATCGCTAATCCAAAAACGGACAACTAGAAGACGGATTAAAAAAATGAACGCTTTGAGGGATAACCGAAAAACTCAATTTAGCTCAAGAGGATTTTATCCCGAAATTTGCAGCCGGTTATGACGCATAAAACGCCTTCGAATTGTTTAATAATTACTGTTGTGATTTAACGGCCATCGCTCCATTTGCGCTTTTTAACAACCCATTCCATCAACCATAAAACGTAACATTTGGCGGGAGTATAATGCGGCTATTAATCGCAAAACAGCGATAAATAATCGGTTGTAGACGCGTCAGTTTTTCTTTTAATAAATGCATTTTTTAATTGTACATTAATCCCATCGTTGGGAGAATTGGAAAATCGTAATTACGGTGAAAATCCTTTAAGCGTTTGCAACGTTGCAAATGTGGGTCACAGAAGAACGACGCAACGGTGCGTGCTTTAGCAACACCGAAATTTCATGAATGAAGATTGGACTTAACACCGGATAATTATTTTAGAAAATTTTATTTACCTACTGGTTCGATGGAAACTCGAAATTACATCGAAGCTTTTTTCGTAGAGAAACACAAGTAGCGACAACTAATCATAAAATCCTCAATTGTATTACATTGTCGTCTAGGGATAAATAACAGGTTTTAAAAGTTGCATGAAAATGCAAAAAAAACTTATTAAATTTTAAAACGGTAGTTGTTTACACAAAACGTCATTTCCTAACGAGTTGATAAGCAACTTTTTATAACACCGGTATTAACATTAATAAATTTACACTGTTGCCCTGATTTTTTCCTACTTTTCTCAACCGAGGCTTATAGGTATTATAGTCAACAAGTCTGTTTTTTTACTTAGGGAATTCTACATAACTTTTTCTGAATTCGTTTTTAACTTCTGAAACTCTCAAAAGTTCTTTAGCACTCTAGTTTACCACAAAAAACAGGTTCCAATACATGATAAATATGTATTATTAAAAATTATGCACTCAACAAATTTATTTTGAAAATTCACCACTATGGGCTATTTTGATCAAAAATTTGATTGCGACTTTAGATTAGCAGTGTTAGTAGCATTTCACATCAAAATAAATACTTGTTTAATTTATATGTTTTTAGAAAAAAATAAACACTGAGTAACCCAGCCGCAATTTTATTGTTATTGATTGATAAAGTTTAATTACACATTTTATGTAGGAGTTTAACATTTTGTCATTTACCAATAATTTTGTATGTATTGTTTCGCAGTTTCGTTTATTTCTAACTTTATTAATGTAAATATACAGGGTGTCCCAAGTTTTAGGACCGGCACAAAAATAAATATTTCTAATTGAGAAAAAAAGAATTTTGATAGTGTAAACGTTAGAGGATACACTTTAATTTGATGTTTTCATATTGTAAATTTTTTTTGCGTATGGCAGAAAGACTTTAAAAATTAAATTTGGAGAAAAAAAAAATCAATTAACTGGAATATTTTCTACAATATAATTTTTTTTATTTGTTTCTGTGTTATTTGTGAAAATAGAATAATGATAAAGTTGATAGGTTTTATCAATATTAAAATGTTCATTACTCAAAATCTATCAATGTTTACATTATTCAATTTTCACTGTTACCATTAGAAAAAATCAAGAAATTTTATCATGTAGGAAAGATTCCAATTAATTAAAATTTTTTTTCGAAATTTGGTTTTTAAGGTCTCATTGACATACGGTAAAAATTTTTAGCACCAAATTGAAGTTTTAATCTATTAGAAATATAGGATGCGCCAGAACTAGCGCCCCAGAGAAAAATTTCAAGTAAGATAAAATACCAGGAACATGGAAAAAAATGTTAAAAAATTCTAACTGTCAAAAAATTTTGATATTTAATTTTGACATTTGACATTTTTTTATGTCTATTTAATAATACTGATAATCTTGTATATGTTTTTTTACAATTATTGAGTAAAAGTACAAAAATTTTGCCAATAAAAGTCACAAATAACATTGAACAAAGTTGCAATTTAGGATACAGCTTCCTTGTTTCCTGTTCTAATAGCGTGTAGGAAAAAACTTGGAAAATTATTTTTTCAACAAAAATAAATATAGTCAAAGTGAAAAATTTAAACTCTCATAACCTCAAAATTTTTATAGATAAAATTTTTTAAACATTTTTTCCATGTTCCTGGTATATAAGGTAATATGGCATTTTTCTCTGGGGCGCGAGTTTTATGTATGTTTTATGACCTGTAGCAGTATCAGATTTTTGTCCCGAATAATAATAATTTTTCGTTTCCTCAACTTTTTGAAGATTAACTCTTTTCTAGATATCGGATTGGAGATTCCCGTACAAAAAGTCGAACCATCCCGTGTGCGTACATTACGGCCGTAATCGCTCAGTCGTAACACTAAGACATTGCGAAGAAGGCGCTAATCCTTCGGCTGCCAGATACGAGTATTTGGAAGCTGCAGGATGTAAATGCCAACAGTGTTCTTCCTCAGACACCAGTTGTGAAGGTTTAAGATATAGACCGCAACGTTCCCATCCGGCGTCTCTTGGTTTCAGAATTAATTAATTTCAAAACGGTGTAATTAATATACAAGACGTCGAAAAGAACGCGAAATTACGACTTGTGTTTAAATTCTCTACATTATGCAATTATTGTTATTAATTTATGTTAATTTCAATGACTGGATTAGGCTGGATCCAGATTTTTGCAACTAAAAATAATTATTCTGACTGCTTGTATATTAACAATCATAGGTAAACTCAATGAATAAATTATGAGTCTCTATTTTTATAATGAGTTACATAAAAATAATATTTATTTATTTATTGCAAAACTGTCTATATGTACATTTCTCAGTGTTCGGACTCAGTCAGTATTATATTGTAAGTAAATGCTATTATAATTATTTAAGTTTCAATCAATAAATTATTTGAAGTATTCTCGAGCAACTCTTTATATTATTTGGTTCCCTTTTTTCACAAAAAATAAGGGGATTAAAGGATGAGAAAGCAACAAAGAAGCCGCCAACACATTTTTAATAATGCTCCAGATATTTGCACAAATTTAAATTTTATTAGGTTCATTTTATGAAAACCCTGGCAAGCTAAGTGACTTGTAATGAAACATATTTATTTACCTAACAATGATAAAAATTATAAAGCTATTTAGAAAGGTAAGCGAAATGAGCTCAAAAATCTTTTCATTACAAAAGCAAGATAAGCAACAAAAATAAAAAAATGTAATATCGTATAATTTTTTCTCCCCATATTAATCATCAAAAGAATAAACAATATTTTAAATGGGTATTTAAATTGTTATTTCCTACGATCTTAACAGAAAGTAAGTTTTTCCACCCTAACAGCAAGAACCTCCCAAAAAGGTAAATATTTTACCTCCCATATCTGTTAAAATTACAATAAAAATCTACACAGAGATAATAAAGTCCTGCACAAAATTCATAGCTCCGCCATTCTGCATTTTTTTTTCGAAAAATACTCGAATAGGTCCATCTTAAAAAGGCACTAAAAGCCATAAAAAGCATTTCAAAAAAATGCTGAATAGCGGGGGTATGAATTTTGAACTATATCATCACTCTGTAGGTATATAATTTCTCAGGGAAGTAAAAATTTTACCTCTTTAATGACAAAACTGGCATAGCAAGACAAATTGTTAGTTTTAAAGTTTTTCTTGCTCTGTCGTAGGCAAAATTAAATGTATTACCCTGACATAAAATGTCATTTCCTCCCGTGGTGGTTACTGTCCTCTATAACTTCTGGAAAAATGTGTTTCCAATTTCCAAATACGTCGATTTTTAAATTTAAAATTGAAAATACTATTGGTCTAATGGACTAATTGTTTAGTTGCATTAATTTTACGTTCGCTCGGGTGAACAAAAAGTATAGATTTAGGCATTTTTTTAATCATTTGCTTTCAGAAAATATTAATTAATAAAAACTAAAGTGCTTTAAATGTGATCGCGTTTTGAAAATGTAATTTTGATTTGTTTTTGAGTTATGCGATTTTTTTTCAGTTATTCGAATTATTTTTCTACAAAAATTAAATAAAACATAGATTCTTGTAATCCTTATATCATTCCCTTTGTAAAAAAAAGTTTTATAGTAGGTTGACACCTGAAAAACAAAAAAACATCCGATTTTTTTAAAAGTAATATAACATTTTTTAGGAATCTATTCATCAATTATTTTTTTGCAAAAATAAATAGTTTAAGTAAAAAAAAACCTTTGGTCCCATACTTTCTGTTCATTTTTTGGTAACGTAATAGAATATTTATTTATCTGCCAAAAGAACAAAAAAAAAGAATCGTGAAATCGTTTGCAATTCACGAATTTTTTTGTCAATTTGATAATTTAATTCAGTGTACCTAACCCAAATACTGAATTTTTTTTTTCAAATATAAGTTTGACTGACCACATCAATTTGAAATGAGTTTTATATGTATAAATATCATTACAATGTTTTTCTTTTGGTTTTCCTCTTTTGTCAAATGTATTTCACTATTTCTTAAAACTATTTCATTTGATATATTAATGTCAAAGCGACGTAGGTGGGAAATAGTTTTGAGAAATAGTGAAATACATTTGACAAAAGAGGAAAACCAAAAGAAAAATACTGTACCTCTACAAAGCTAAAATTTCAAATTTTTTAAATAGTAAATTATTTGGATTATTTAAATATTAACTTGAAAACAATTCTTTGTATAGAAAAAGATTTAAATAATAAATAGCCAAATTTTTATTATCATTATCAGATTTTGTAACAGAAAAATATTTTTTGTGATAGAAGTTCGAGATGGTACAAGTTTCAAAAACATAAACACAAAATCCGAATGCATAAATTTATTAAACACGCCGAAGCAAATGAACTTGAACTAAAACTAGCTAATGAAATAATGTAATATGCCACAGCTTTAAGAACTAATCAGTAATCACCTAACTATGTTTAATAAACAGAAAAGTTCCATTCGAAAAATTCAACAATTTGATTAAGTGCGTTCCTAATAGGAAACTTTCGAGCACACAGGTCGCGTGCATTTTTCCAAATTAATTAATGGAATAATGGTTGAAAAGAGAAGGGTGTGGTGTGACACTGAACACGTCTCTCGAGAAAACCAGACACAATAGTTGTAAACTATACGATCTATTTTTCAGCACTTAGCGAGTCTATTATCGACAAAACTCCAATCTCAAAACACTTTATTTTATTTTTGAAAAAATCAAATTTCCATTTAATTTTGAATAATAGCGACGGACAATTAACCTAAATAACAGCCTCGATGGCGTTCCTGGGAATTGATTAAAAGCTGACCAAAATGTAGGTCCTTGATCCTATGATGAGGGACTTTGTTCGCCCACACTTCAGCCAGCAATTAACCGTTCACCAGGTGTGATACACTTAGAAGGCGCTAATATATGCAGTCCCACGCCGGCAAGATTGTCAAGTAATACAGAAAGCTCTTCTCGATTACTCGCCTGCATCGAAAAACTCGTAAAATGGATCGTTTATTCGTGCTTAACCACAACACGAATATCACTTTCCAATATCAACATTTTAATGTCGGATCGGAAACTATCCACTCCAAAATAAAACATTAACAAAACGGTTATATTCTGACAAGAAATGTTAAAACTCAGAGAACAGTTGAAAATATCAAAAAAATCCAAATAAAAATTAATCTTAAAACAACTATTTTACTGATTGAATAATGTTAAAAATGAATCAGATTTATAAAAAGAACACTGATTTTTCATTATATTACTTTTCTAATGTAAATATTATAATAAACTAAAATTGTAATAACAATGGGATAATATACAATAAGTTTCATATATAGTAAGTGGTTCAGAAATTTTTCTGTAAAAATAAGTATGTAGAAAACCGATACATCTACTTAATGTTTTATGTTTTACTGCATCTTTAATTTAATACAAATTTTCTAAATACTTTTAATGTTGTCATAAAAATGAGTGAATTTAAAAATATGACGTAATGTGATGAATGATATTGAAAATGTAACAGCTTAAAAGGATCAAAGAAAAAAGACAATAATCTGATATTTTATTTACCATTAATATTTCATGATGTACCCTTCTTGTTGCTCTTAATGTAATTTCAGTTTTTTTTACATAAAATAAATCAAATTCGTTTCTTTTACTGACATTTTTTTAAATATGAAAATTTCCCCCCAAGATTTTTTTTATAAACTGCTCCACAAAATTTAAATTAATAAATTATTATAAAATAAATCAATAATTAATTAAAAGTGATAAAGACAGATATCTTTTTATTTTTTGTTTTTGCCGGATTCCACAATGCTTAGAAGAATAAAATTTGTTTGTTGTAAAAATAATGCAACTTTCTTAACTTTTGTGGAGCAGTATATTGTTGTCTAGAAAATTATTTAAGGTGGTACCACGGAGACATTTTCAGTCTCCCCAACTGTCTTTTGCACCTGGCTATGGCTAACTTTCTCCTTAATTATTTTTATATTTTATTGCAAGTCTAAAGCATCCTTTTAAAAGTGGCCCTTTGGTAAGATTTTTTGTCCTTTGGTTTACTTTGAACAGTGAAAATTCGTTACTATTTCTACTAGGTTTAAAAAAATAATGTTTTGTTACAATTCTAGAAAAACTTGTAAGCTGATATTTCTGAATATATTTAATTTCTGAATGTAATTTTTAAATTAAAATTTAAAATAAACTAAATATTTCTGAATGTGTTTTTTTAAATTAAAATTTAAAATAAACTAAATTTACTTGCAAATCTGGGTAGAATCCGTTTTCATCTTGATGATATTCTAAAAAGCACTATGACATTTTTTAATTCGAAAATTTTCTTTGAATTTTCATATTCATATTCCATATTTCTATATTCTATTACAAAACTAGATAATTCTTGAAAGCTGATATTTCTGTATAATGTTTTCGTGTCTCCGGCTGTCCTTTGCAGCATTACTTTTAATATTTCAAGTTATTCTATAATGTCTGAATACAATATTTTTTTAACTAAAATAAACTATATTTTTCTATACAGGGTTATTCATAAATATGAAGCAATATTTGAACCTCAAAAATGACCTATAAAATGATGTTAATTTAAATAACAACTCGTGTCCTATCTATACTGATAAGAATTTCACAGCCCTCGGAATGTGGTTATGGAAATTTGATTTTTTTGTAATAACTTTGGAACTATTTGACCAAATATTATAAAATTTGGAACATTTCCCTGTGACAACATACCTTTTAAGCTGGTAATCACGAAAACCGGATACATCCACTCAATTTCCGGTTCCAGCAGTTGCAGGTCACATTTTCTGTGTTTTTCCATTTTTTTGCTCTCTTAACACCAATTTTTTATTGCCCATATCAATAGAGTAATCAATTTCGATTAAAAAACGCATAACCTTTAATACCCCTAAAATGGACCGTTTCAAAGATATTTTAATTTAAACTGAGGACTGCACAACGCTGAAACCAAAAAGTAGGGATTTTGAATGGATGATATCCACGGTAACAAAAGACCATGGTCTCACTAATCGCTGTTAGGYATCTGTCAACATTGACATTGGACGATTATTAGACAATTAATCGAAAATATTTAATAAAAGAGTTTACCTTAGATTCCAAACATAACTTAGAATAAATCTAAATGGATCTCGTAGCATTTAATTCATAAAAAATTCACAAAAATTTATTGTCAAAGTTAACAGATGCCTGGCAGGGMTTTATGTGACCATGGTCATTGGTTGTCGTGGATACCACTTATTCAAAATCCCTATTTTTTGATTTCAGCGTTGTGCAGTCCACAGTTTAAATTAAAATATCTTTGAAACGGTCCATTTTAGGGTTATTAAAAGTTATGCGTTTTTTAATCGAAATTGATTACTCTATCGATTTGGGCAATAAAAAATTGGTGTTAAGAGAGCGAAAAAATGGAAAACACAGAAAATGTGACCCGCAACTGCTGGAACCGGAATTTGAGTGGATGTATCCGGTTTTCGTGATTACCAGTTCAAAGGGTATGTTGTCACAGAGAAATGTTCCAAATTTTATAATATTTGGTCAAATAGTTCCAAAGTTATTACAAAAAAATCAAATTTCCATACCCACATTCCGAGGGCAATAAAATTCTTATCATTAGAGATAGGACACGAGTTATTATTTAAATTAACATCATTTGATGGGTCATTTTTAATGTTCAAATATTGCTTCATATTTATGAATAACCCTGTATAAATGTACCCAAAAATCCGATGGTAACAGTTTGCTTGTCTTTTACACGGGGTGATGTTTATCTTTCAAAGTTCTAAAATAAAATTGATCAAATGATTTAAACACTATAGAAAATACACCTAATATACAGTATGTCCCCGGATTAAGTTTACAAGAGGCAAGAAAAATTTTATCTTTGATTTTACGCCAAAACTGCAAATGAAAAACATTTTTTTCTTTATCTGAAGCAAGCAAATCTGTAATTAAAACTTCATTATTCTAACTCAGTAGAAAGAATTTTTCTCTTGGTTTTGGACTTTTTTTCTGTTTTTTAAGTCCTATCACATTGGCGGTTTTATTATTTTGACAATAATGTCACTTTGACAAATAAGTTTACGCAAGTTACATAAAAACATAATTGTAATAAAATAATTGTAATAAATAGAAACTCAAAGAAACAGCTTGAAGATAAAACCAAAGTCATTTTTAACAAGAACTATCATTATTTAATTAATAAATTAATTGTCAAAGTGACATATATAGTTGTCAAATAAATAAAACCGTCAGTGTGACAGGACTTAAAAAGCAGAGAAAAATTAACTTTTCTTTTCACTGAATCAGAATAATAAAGTTATAAGTAAGTACAGATTTGCTTGTTTCAGGTGAAGCAAAAAATGTTTTTCCTTTTCCAGTTTTGGCTTAATATCAATGATAAAAAAAAWTTTCCTCTTGTAAACTCAATCCGGGAACATACTGTAGAAGTATATTTTTTAWTCAGAAAAATTTTTACCTTAAAAATTCTACTACTTGCAAATCATCCATCAGTCATCACTGATCAAAAATGTGATTTTTTTAAAAAACAGAAAAAAGTAGCCAACAATAATTTCTTTTATACTACGTAAAACKATACTAAAACTAAATATGTACTATAGTAATACTATAACTGCAATACTAAACCAATTTTTGCCAGATTTATGCAAAAAATAGAGTATATGCATATTTTTTTTCACGGATTCTAGAATTTCAATATTTTTTTATATTATTTTACGTAATTTTTGTTCCAAGTTGCTGTGGAGTGTGAAGATACTCGTAGGATGTGGAAAAAGTTAAAACCTAACAATAAAACGGTATAACTAGGAACCCGTGGATATATTCACACTAAAATAAAAAAAAACATTTTGTGCAGGAAGTAAACCCGTGCTAAATTAGTTATTAATTAATAACAACATTGTGTGGAGTTGTGTTTGCCATGAWTAAATAAAACGTTTGTTGAGGATAATTTGTGAATGGCAAAACAAGCAGTGTTAATTACGAAAAATTCGCAAAAATTTGGTAAAATCRCGTATTAGAAATCATTTTGGCAAATTGTGCTTCCATTTCGTTAACATCTCTCTCGATCACCTGAATTTGTGTGGGAATTTCGTTAGGGATGCAATCACTGACAATTACATTGAGTAAACATGTAACTTGGGCAAATCGAAGAGAACTTTTTTTAAATTTCCATTTTCACGTTCGGAAAATTTCGAGAGGGGAGTGTATAATAAGGCTCATACGTCTCTAAGGATTGTGCATAAATTACCGTAACTTTATTAAGTAATTTAGCGAGTAATTGGTGCTTTTATACGAAAATGAAAGTGACATCCGATGGGAAAAACGTTTTTCTAGAATCACCAATATTGTAATTAATTGGATAGATTAGCAAACGGAGTGAAACGAAATTTATACGTGTGATAGAAAATGAGATATGGGAGAGGGTGAAATAAGAGACTCGGAGGAGAGAGGTGCATTTTGCAATGCATTTTTGATACGTAAAATATGTGAGCGAACACAAGGGAGTTTCGGGAATCGCAAAGGGATGGTTTTAAATGTTGTTCACACGATATGCTCGGAGTTGTTTCGTTATTTTGGGAATCAAAACAGGGGTAATTCCGCTAAGTCGTTATTTTAGCTTTCGCATGGAAAGGTATGTCAACAATAAATTTTATTCGCGTATTTTTAAAATACATTTTAGAGAAAACAAAGGTAATTTACTAAAAAAGGAGGCGTTTTAAAGTAGGAAGACATGTAGTCTACTCGTACGAGAAGATTCTAAAAGAATGATAGTGTACTCGTATTTCAAAAATAAAATAAAATGAAGTCATTAAACGTGGTTAATTAAATAAGTTTACTATATTATTGTATTATACGGATTTACACAGGCCTGGAAAACGGGCGAGTATTATCTAATTAAATATGTTTTAAAACCCTTCTAGCATTTAATTTTTTGGCTTATGATAATCATACTGATATAACTCTATTACCTATTAGTTAATACTCATAATTAGTCAATATTAATCATAGTAAAACAAAATATTTTAAGTGATATAAAAAAATTATAGAAAAAATTAATAAACATTATTTTTGTAATTTGCTTCCATTTTAAGTATTTTTTTTTTACAAAAACGGCATAAAAAGCACCATAAAAACGGTATAAAATACATATTAGCGTTGGAAAAGAGTATAAAATCTGTTTTAATATTTATTAATTTTTAATATTTATTAATTAATAACGGGACTGAAAAAATTGTCCCCAAATTTTTAAAAGATTCGACTGTTACCGAGTGTTTTTTTTTAGCACTTTCCTATTCAACCTAATTTGAAATTAGAGAATAAGACTAAAAATTAATTTAAAATAAAAAACGAGCAATTTATTTGTGTTAGGTACAAAAATTAAGTATAAAAAAAAACAAAACAGTTTAGAAACAAAAATATTTTTTTCATTATTTTGTTTGGAAATTGTTAAAAAGAAGTTTAAGATTCGTGTTCATTTACAAATACAATCATTTACAAAATTGCGGATCAAAGGTTAATGACAAAATAAAAAACATTTTTCAAAGCGTTTTTTAGCTTAATAATTAACATCGTTACTGTCACAAAGATCATTCTTTTCATAAACAAACGGTTTTTAATTAGAAACCGGTCAATTTAGCATTTTATTTTCAGTCTTCTTTACTTAATCCACAACTTCCCTGAAAATTTCTCAACAATGGTAGAATAAGTTGCGAACACTTCAATATTCTTAAATTTCTACAAAACTAACTTTATGATAAACAGAATTTTGTTAAAATTGTTTCTGTAAATTTCAAAATTAATGTCTAATTCTAAATACACTACAATTTTAAAAAAATTAAGAGAAAAATAAAAATCTCTTTAGTTTGAGCAAAATCATAAAATGTGTGTTTTGATTGTTAGTTCAAAGTTTGATTTTTTAGAGTAAAATTCGAATAAAATATTAACTAAAAGGATTTTTACAAAAGTACATTTAATTATAGAAAACAAATCAGGAAATTTAAAATTTTTCTTTTTTTGGAAACTTTGTACAATTTTTTTTGACTTATCACTACTTTTTTTGCCAATAAATACCGTGCGATAAAATAAAAAAATAAATTAGAGTAGGCGTCGATTAAATTCTACAGTTGGCAAACACACACAAACTGAAAGTGATGAAAATGACCATCAACCGTTTTCCTCTTGTACAGCAATCAAAATTTTCTGCTCCAAAGTGAACATTAGTTCACTCAAAACGAATAAAACGTAAACTTGTCAAAGTTTCCGCTGACATTTGATGTCAAAAATTAGGATTGCCATCTGAAGGAGTTTAATCATCACCGCCCACTCTAATTTATTTTTTTTTTTTGATCGCACGGTATATGGAAGCGTTAGACCAGTTATTGGTAAAAGTAAATGATTAACATTTAATTTTTAGTCAAAAATTCAAGAAATTTAAGAAAATTTTGGAAAGATTTTTGAGCATCAACATGTATGTAACATGTATGTATTTATTTTACAAATATTAAAAAATCAAAGGTTTGGAATCAACTGACGGACAGTTTTCGATTTCGCATTGTCAAAAGTAGGTTAGCTATGTTTATTTAAAAATCATTTCTAAAAATTGCGATTCTTTGAAAAAACACTGAAAAATGTCTTTCAATTCTTGAAAGCATAATTTTAGTAATAGTAATTAACAAATTTACTTTGCTTTTCTTAAACAAGCTTTTTTTAATTAATTTTTTTTTGTTCTCTATTCTTAAGCTGCTAAAAATCTTAAATCTTTCTTTGAGAAAAGGCTTGTAAAAAATAAAAAAGTAATTACCTATTTAAGAATAAGTAACTTGATTCTCTGTATTTTGGAATTAACGCCCAAAATAAATTCTAAATACAACACCGTTTTCAAAAAATAGAAAACAGCTCGCGCTTTAAATAATAGTAAAAAAAAATTAAAGACCACACGATTCTAAAAAACCGACAAATCTAAAAAAATTACGAAAACAAATTTTCGTAAAAATATTGAATTAGCAAATCAACTTAGCAAACCCTTCACCGTTTCGATACTTTTTTATTTATAAAGAAATCACAACCTTGTAGAAAGTAACATTTAATGAAGTTAGTTTACAATTCAGTCAGTCAGTAGAATATTTACAATAATAATCTATATTAAATGTACATAAACATTTACATAATTAAACTCTAGAAACATCATCAAGCCTCCCTTGCGTCCAATCCATTTAATCCTTCTTACAGTGATAACAAGAGCAGCTAACGGCCGATTTAAAAGTTAGCGTTCGAACACCATCCACGCATAAAACTCGAGCTTCAACAGGTTCCGTCTCCATTATATTACAACATTGTCCAACGGAAGTAACAGGTTGCGTTGGAGTGGCTTTAGGTCCTGACGGTACCGCCCAACTTTCGCAAAAACCTCGACAGGCGTTCGTCGTCATATGAAATTCCACGCATTCGGGAATGCTAATCTTTCTAGTATGCCCTGAGACATTAAAATTAAAAGTTCATTAATTCAACCCAARATTTTCAAACTTCCTTCCACTTACCGACTTTGTGACATCCGGGCTTTTGCCAAGCGTCGCGAGCGTTTACAGCCTTCACCATAAAAGCGTCCGAAAGTGACAGAAGAGTGAAGAGAAGCCAGCATGCCAGCATCCTGAAAAAATCCAATTTGATTAAGAATTTGAATAATTAAGTTTCGCACCCACCTGGTGGAACGCCGTCGATGCTACGGCGTCAGCGTCGAGACTTGGAATGAAGGGATGAAACACCGTTGTAATGCTTTCTATCTTGCTTCTACCCCCACTATTTCAACACTACATACACCCCCGTAATGATGACGTACTTCTTCGAAGAATGAATAAAATATTTGTGACAATTATTTCGTGTTTTTTAAAGCGTTCATCCAAGGATGAATCGCTCTGTCCCGGAAACTAAATGATCCGTGAGGGATTATATGGCGCAAAAAGGATTTTTGCATATGAATGCTGTAAACACCTACGCGCTTAAAATGATTTCCAGGTGTAATTAATATTAAAAGTGAATTATTAAAATTGAAAAATTTTAATAAATAATGATAAGTAAAAGGTTATATTGGCCGCAAATAGTTATTTATTGTAAAAGTGTGTTTTATCCACCCAAGAATGTTTAACGGTAACAGTTCGAGYGGTTAATTTTCTTAAGTCGATAAAATGCGACTAACACACGACTGCAATATAACGTTTTATCCACAATCACAGGCCCAAATTRTTCCAAACTTAATTAATGCCTCTTTTTCACAATGACCTATGTTGTTATATTCTATATTCTATATTGTGATTTTGAAATAATACAGAGTGAGTCACTTATAATAAAGACCTTAACCGATTTTCAGACACAACTYAAAATACATTTTGGCTTTTGTTTGAAAAATTTAGATTATTAAATTTAAATCAAAGTGGTTCTTGATACGTCATTCTTAAATCTGACAGTGTCATTAATTAAACTTTTTTTCTCTTGACTTAAATATAAATAAATGATGAAAAAACTGACATGATTTTGATATACAGGTACTCATTTAACGCTCCTGGTAAGATCTCCTACGACGCTCTAACTTGAGATGCTTTATTTTTGAGACACCCTGTAATTTCTTGTGTCTGCTGATGAATATAATCGTTTTCATATTAATGTGCATCGAGTAGTCGTTGAATGGGATCATTTCAAGGTGGCAACCATGCGAAAATTCAAACAACCTTCCCTAAAAATTAAAAAAAAAAAATTAAATATAAAGCAGATAGTTGTAATCCTTAGAGTATAGCTTTTATGAGAAAAATGATTTTGTAGTGGGTTGCCATTTAAAAAAATATTGTTTTTTGTAGAACTCAAAAACAAAAGGAAATTTCGAACAATTTTTTTCTTGTTAAATCATCACATTTTTATAGTACTTTATCACTCATCAAATAGTTTTTTCAAAAAATAAATAGTTTAACCAAAAAACGTTTGGTTCCATACTTTTTATTCAATGAACTAGCAAAAAATAATTAAAATTAACAACGTAATTAACATAGGGTGGAAAACATAAAGATTTTTGTTATTATTGATGTGATTACATTTGTTCTGAATGACAATGACACTGTTTGTGTGAATCGACCTTTAAATTAAAGATGCATTTAGACTTCTACAACATACTTGATGCACATTAATATGAAAAAGAGACACACTGTCACATAATTAGATCATACCTACATTATCTAGTAGACGCTAAAAAACTTCTTTATAATAGATAAAAGCAATCTTTAAATTCATTACAAAATAAACAATAAAAATTATTCGAGATATCAAATTTAAGGTTAATAAGAGGAAAATTGAAATTAAAATGGAGATTTAAAAGCAAGTTTAAAAGTTACAAAATAACAAGAAAAAATGCCCAAAACTTGTTGAAACTGTAGACTTTTCATTGTTTTGAAAAGTTTTGACTTAAAGTTTCCTAAATTTTTATGCATTTACATGTTGTAGGTTTCTTAACCTTACATCAGGTGGTTACATTAAACTAGTCTTAAAATGGCTACTTACATTGCGCCTCAAAACCGTTGAACGCAAATGTTTCAAATTTCCATTCGAAATCGAAGAAAAAAGAAATAAAAACAAACATTTCCACTTTGCATTATAAAAAACCAAACAAATTCACACCTTTTGCAATATTTATGCAAAACACTTCACTATGGAACTTTTAAACTTGTAATAGTGGCCCTTGGAAAATAAACAAAAGCGGGGGATTTACACCAGTTACATCCAAAACAACCAATCAAATTGCCCGATTTCGGCTTACCATGGCCTCCCCCATTTCGACTTCATAAAAAATTTTGATTTAATATTTGGTACTATTAAAAAAACGCTATTGTAATCAAGTCAAACGTATAGCAAAATAAGTATTTTAAATTGAATTAAGTAAATATTCCCTGTGCTTGCTGCAACATTTTCGGAGTGACCTTGGTGTAGGTTACGTTATGTCACAAATTTGACATTTGTGATCAGCTGATCTCTCATGTAAACAAAAATCCATTTTCTGTTCGAATCTTGATAAAAATTGTTTAAATAATGATCGAGGATAGCCTCGAAGAGGAATTGCTGCACGAATTCAAAGGTGGAACGTTAACAATAAATCCCGAAAACAAATTAAACAATGATAAGCAGATAAAACCGGAATCTCCTGATAAACCCGATAAAGACTCACCCCCGCCAAACAAAAGTGATAATTATTGGAGCTCGAATTTCATATCACCCCTCACATCAATACCAAATAAAAGTAAGTGTAATATGGTTGATAATCCATACGGAATATGTCCCTTAACACCGGTCTCATATTGTGCCCTTCCACATGTAGTTTTAGTACGTGTGATTTGACTTCGCCGTACTTTTCCTAACACTGAAATTTCAGTCACTGCAAGTATTTGGTGTAAGAATCCCAAAGCACCCACACCAACCAAAGAAAATACCATCCAACAAGCAATCTCCATCACCGAAAATCCCAACAATTACTTTACTTTTCGCGAAAGTGTGCTAGCGAGGGCTTTGGGCGAGTGTAAGGAACAGTTCCTTGATGAAGAAGCAGATGGGCCTTTGGTCGAAGCTTTCCTACTCACACAGTATGCCCCCAAATAACTTCAACCCAAAATAATTACAAAAAATCGTAGGATTAGTCACTGGAATTCAGATAAAGAAAGACTTGTTCTACTGACACCTAAGACTCTCGTTGTTTGTAAATATGACTTTATTGCTTTGAAAAGACTGGGGTACAAAAAACTACCATTAGAGTTAATTGATGAAGTCATTTATGGCGAGTTGACCTATCCAAGTGCGTCACTAATACCGTAAGTGTTTTGTCCTCTTAATTAATAAGTGCGAAAATTTACAACTAAAATTGTGATTGATTATTAATGCCAGCCAAATGAATGGATTTGTTGATGGATTATCCAATGTTTTGGAGACTTGCCTATTTGCCAAATGGTCAAAAGGCAACAGCAAGCCGATGAGTAACTTTTATCAACCTAGGTATAGTTTTAAACATGCATGATTTATTTTTAATAACTTTTTGATGTCACTATACAAGTTCGAAAAATATTAATTGCATATTTAGGATTTAGAGATAAGACAGGTTGGTTAATCTTATGAAAAAACTTTAAACCTCTATGAATATTGACCTCAGAATAATTAATCAACGTTTAAGATGAAATCAATAAAATAAAAATCAAGGTATTCAAAAAAAAAGTTCCTAAAAAAAATAGGTTTTGAGGTAACAAAAGATTAAATAAAGACTAAAGATCTTAACAGTAAAATAAAATGCATACAGACTGTGTCAGAACTCGCGCCTCAGAGAAAAATTTCAAGTAAGATAAGATACCAGGAAAAAACAGAGTTACATTTTAGGATACAGTTTCCTTGTTTCCTCTTCTAATAGCCTGTAGCAAAAAACTTGGAAAATTATTTTTTCAACAGAAATAAATAGAATCAATGTGCAAAATTAAAACTCTCATAACTTCGAAATTTTTATAGACAGAATTTTTCAACGTTTTCCCGTGTTCCTGGTATCTTACCTTACATGGCATTTTTCTCTGGGGCGCGAGTTCTGCCGCACCCTGTATATGAATGTCAGCTAAATCATGAGATTATAACGTGTAGAAAGTGATTATTTTCATACTATGTGTTGCTCGTGGACAGTTATTAGAAAAAAAAATAACAAAAGCATTTGTTCTTTATTTCATAATTTTTTGAAAATAATCGAGTGATAAAGTGAAAAATTATATTTGGCAGAAACCGCCACATGAAGGGTGTCCGTTTGCTTTGGAACAAAAACAAGCCTGAAAACCTAGGCGTCTACTGGAACCCGTTTAACGAAGATGTCCCCTTCTGCACTTTCACCTTTCACCCTCTATTTTTCCACAAAGGTAGAGAAATTGACATTTTTGGCTTCCATTTATTTTTTAATTCCAGACTGCGTCGATGAAAAACTAAAAAATCTCTACTCGTTAGACTCCTTTATCGAAAAGATCTCAAAAGCTATTGCCGACTTACCGAGAAATAATGAACCGAATCAGGAGCCTTGCATTATACAAGAACGGGATATAATTTTGAATAGTTATGTGGGAATTGGATCTGTTATACACAATCGGAATTCATTGGGGTTTTTTAAAGTTAGAGGCAAATTCAGTTTTTAATGTGATATCGGATATTTTATCTCTTACGCGCACAATTTTACGATCTGATTATTCTCGCAATATTAAATGCACCAACTGTTGTTTACACGTCTGTATATACTATTTGAAAAGTATTGTTATTATTGGCCTATTTATCGTCTAAATAAACTATGGAAAAAATAGGTTTTATTCTACTTAAATTAATGCTAAAAATACTTAAGATGAAAGGTCAAGCAATTCTTTTAAAATGGCGTTTTCTTGCGATTTTTTAAGATTCTCCTTAAAGGTACAACAAGCTTCTCTTATAATCTTAAAGTTTTCGTCACTATAGTACGGCTTTATTTTTAAACTTCCAACACTATTACTACTCTCATTCAACACTTGAGCGTTTTCTTTAGAATCTATCGTGACAGGACTCTCATTTACTCTCAAATGCTTCAAATTGTAAGTAATTTCCGAAATCCAGCTCGATATAATTTTAAGTTCTTTCTCAAAATCTCTTTTCAACTCGTCATTAGTCACAGTTAAGTTGTCAAATATGTTAACCCCAACTTCAAAACTTTCCTCACTCATTTTTTCCATTCCAGTCTCCAAGACTCCAGAATCGCTCATATTTTGTGTTAATGTGATCAGAGAATTGTAATTTTCTTCCAAATGCTCGTGAACTTGGAATACATCGTCAATTTTATTTACCATAGACGCCATTTTTATCACTTGCTCTTCTTTGTAAGCATCCGCAAAAATAACGTTTTTGAATATGTTGTAATTCTCCTGGGAAAGGTTGTGCAAAGGCCCCAGCTTTTCCGAAAACATGTCTTGCGAAAAATCGTAACTATTTTCAATCTCCATGTTCACATTAAATTTCTCAGGAGTGAGAAAATTATTGTTTGAAAGTAAATATGAAGGCATTTGGATGGACATAYCGCTGTTTGCTTGACTACACTTTGTGTCTCGGAACGTTTCAGTAAAAATATCGCTTGAAATCGATTTCTCATAAATTGTAATCTCACCCTTCACTATCGATTTTTGAAAATCGCAACGTCTTTTCAAAATGAACTTCAATAGACCTTTGATTTTCATCACTAACCATTTGCTTTTGCAGTCGTGAGGATCCATYGTTTTAATTTGCTCCAAATACGATTTTAAGGTGTCTTGCGACATCAGTCGTGATTTCTTCAAATGGAGTAACAGTTTTTTATGAACGTCTTCGAGAAATATGTAAGTATTAGGTACTTGACTCAATTTTTTCACCGGCTTGAAGAGAATCGGGGACTCTTCACCAAAACCGGAAGAACTTTCGTTCCACATCGGAAAAGTATACTAAAAGGTAAAGATTAATTAAATAAACCGTTTTTTTACCGGTAAGTACCAAAATTTTTTCAATTTAAAAATGCCCAGCTCAAAAATTTGACATTTGAATTTATAATCAGCATTGCCAACCTAGGTGTGCGCAGATTGTTGCATTATTTGTTAGAATTAACTTGTTTTTTTTTTAATAATTTGGGGCGTTATTGATGATTTAATTTTTGTTGTTGTAAATTTAGCAAAATTAAACTTAAGTATACATAATAATTAATGTTTGAGTTCAAATTGTATACGGTAAGCAGCGCCACAAGTGGCGCTTTCACCAACTAAACAGACTTGTTGACAATTTTAGGTTATATTAAATTATTTACAAAAAATGTAAACAAAAAATGTGTCGTTTTTTTAAACGCGCGTCATTTCTAATTGGTATTTTTCTCGGTGTTTTTGTTGCTGTGATACTTAGGATCAATCAAATCCCGAAATCGGGGCCCCCAGAACCAAGAGTCTTTGACTTGACAAAATACCAGAAATGGTTTGAAAGAACAAAATTAGGCCGTCGACCGATCTCATTTGATGTTTTACGATACAGCAATAAGTCATTCCACTTGGAATCACAATATCTTCATGAGAGGATTTCAGTTTTGTGTGTAATTTTAGTGAAAACCCCTAAAAATGCAGATGCCGTCAGGGCGACATGGGGGCGCAGTTGCAATCAACTACAATTTTTAAACTTAACAACGGAACGTAAAAAAATTCCAACTATTAAGAAAAATGGACAGGAGTCATCTTGGGCCTTACTTTGTGAATTGTTAAAAACACTACCTGAAGAATTTAAGTGGATTTTAGTCGTTTACGATTACACTTTTGTGTTGGTGGAAAATTTGAGATTATTTTTAAGTGGGCTTGACCCCCAGGATAAATATTATTTGGGCCACGCTGTACAATTTTGGAGCACTGAGTATAATATGGGCCAAGCTGGGTATGTCCTAAGTCGAGGAACTGTCCATAGCTTTAAACAAAAATTCAGTGATAAAAATTCTTGCACACAAGTTCGAACATATAGAAATCAAGAAGACTATTATTTAGGTAAAAGTCTTTTATCACTTAATATAACCCCAGTTGATACTAGGGACTCAAATGGGTTATCAACGTTTCACCCATATAATCTCCATCATGTCTTTTTCCCGGAGAGAAATCAAAAATTGAGTGTTTTTCCGCATCGGTGTTGCAGCCCACATACTGTGGCTTTTCAAGTGAGTTGAAAAATTGTGTATGTAACAACTGATAAAAAATTGTAGTCAATTGAAGGTGACAAGATGTACACTTATTACTACATATTATACACGCTTCAATTGTTTCATTATGGCGAGTTTGGGAACAAGGCGCCCCTCAAAACAATAGAAGACGACCAGGTTTGTGTTTTTGTGGGTTGAATTATTTTTTCAATTGGAATTGTGTTCTCAGATTTGGAAAAGCTTCCTGAGGGACCGCGACATCTCGGAGAACATCTCCCCCGATCAGTATTACAAAATCTGGGAAAACATCGTCGACGACCCCACTTCCTTTGCTAAACACATGAAACGCGAAGAGTATTTCGATTATAACTGAGGTTGTGATAATCCGTCCAATTATATTTTTGTATTTTTTGAATAAAAGATTTTAAACATTTTGCGCGTTTCATTTCCCTAAATCAGACTGATAAATGATAAGAGTTCGTCGAAACGGCGTCTGGTCTTCCCATGCAGTTTTTATCATTTTTGCGACCCAAATTTAAAACTTGCCTTGACACGTATTTTATCAAGTTCTCTAAACTTGAATTTTTTGATATTCATTTCCACTTCCTCTAATCCACCTACCTACCATAAAATGTTCCACAATTTTAGTCAAGCAGACGGGAAATATCTGCATCTGATGCAGGCACGTGTTTTGTTAAAGCTGTTGGGGGTACTAGCTTAGCTCTTCGTGGGATTGATAAATTGCGAATTTGGTTCACTATAAATTCATTCGAGTATGAAGTTTGGATGTTAGTAGTTTGTGAGTTTGAAAATGGAAAGGCTTTCGTGCCTTCTGTTGTTTATTTTGGTGTTCCCAAACTTGGTTAAATTAGAGTTACCACGATATTTGCATGCAAAATATGGCATGAGTSCGTCGCCCAGTCCTCACTCTGTCAAAAGGTAAGTGTTTTTCATTATTAGCTATTACCAAGAAAATCACTTTGGTGGATGCGCCAGACTAGTATAAAAATACACAAGGATCAAAAGATGTTTTTATATTACTTTTACTACTTAAAAAAATGTAACTCGAAATTTATTATACTGTCAGAGGCAATAGAAGCGTTAATAAAAACTACTCTAACGCAATAATAACACTAAGTTTAAGCTAAGTACCTACTTTAATTTAAAATATTTAAAAAATAAATAAAATAAATATAAATAATTAAAATAATATAAATAGTTTATGAAAAAGGATTGAATTCTACTCCTAGTCCCCTACTATGTGTGTTAATTAACTTCTTTGGTCTTATATTTAACCTTAAATTAGTTTTAATGTTCTTGTATTTTATTTTATATTTTTTATAAACGGCAAAAAGTAATAATGGAAAAACATTAGTGAAATATGACAAAAAACTCTTCTAAACCTCTTAGGTATATTATAAAGTAAAAAACTTAAATACATAATCTATTATGTCAATAGCTTCCTATCCTAGAGGAATCCACGATTGTATTTAAGAATTTTTTTTACGTATAATTAGTCTTTTGAGACAATAAACAACTAACAATATTACAGTAAAAAATATTAGTCAAGCGAATCTTGAATGGCGTTAAGATCCTCCAAAATTGTCCACAGTTAATCCTATCTTTATAAAACTCATTTTCTCTTAATTTTATCCTAAAATTAGTTTTAATTTCCTTCCAATTTACTTGAATGTTTAATTAAAAAAAATATTAGTTATTAAGTAGTAAAAACATTAATGAAACAAAAGGTCAAATTTATTTAGGAAATCTCTAAAATTAAAAAAAAGGTGAAAATGCAAACTCTTCTTACTAGTATTAAATAAAACAAACAATATTTTAATTTAAATCTAAAACACTGGAAAGAAAAACCAAAAAAAATTTCTTAAAAACAAAATCTATTAGAATGAAAAAGGGGCAATAGCAATACAACTAGGAAACGTATTATAATACAATTCACAATTAAAAAAAATATGTTTTATGATAAAAAACGTGTAGACTGAGGAATTTACTAAACGGAATATTTTAGTAGCATAAATAACAAAGGATAGTAGGAACCAAACATTATTTCTTTAAACTATTTATTTATTAAAGAACTAATTGATGAATAATAAAGTATGTACTATAAAAAAGTGGACATTTTTTGTTTTTTTTTTGAGTTTTGTAAAACTTTTAATTTTAATTATTTATGAAATTTGAAAAAAAAAAATTCAAACGCACTGGATTATAAAAAACGCTCCAAACCACAACTTCAATAATTTTAAAGATATTATCATACTACTTAACAGTTTTTTGTTATCAAAAGGGTAATAAATAATAAATAGTGAGCTTGTTGAAAGACAATTTAACCAGGAATCCAAAAATTATGATGAAAGTGATGTCACTTTCGGTAAAACACGAAGCAGCTTTCATTGAGCATCTATCCCAAAGAATAGATAACAATAAACTATGCAACTTTGTACAAAAAAGTTTTGTTATATCTTTCAAAATACTGGAGTTGGGACATTTTTCATAATCCAGGTTGTATAATGTTGCCATTTATTAACAAAATAACCTCAACTAAAAAAAAATAAAATTTTCTTTAAAAAAAAAATCACATTTTTATAACATTTTAATTTTTATTAATTATTATTATTTTCCGTTAAAAACTGCTTGGTTCCACACATTTTGTTCATTAAAAGATTAATAAGAGCGATGTATTTAGAATTCAATAAAAAAGTTAAAATAATCAAAATAAAGAAATAACTAGGTATTGCTTTATTTGTGTACTTTTATCTTAGTTGTTAAGCCCATGCCTGATTCCAACATCAATTTCTTCCAATTTCCTTCTTTTGTATTTATTTTTAGGGACTTCAATGCTTAATAAAACGACCAAAAAGAAATTGTTGATTGGAGATCGTTGTTGCACACATTGGAAAAATTCAATAACAATTATTTCTAGAATCAATCAACTTCAAACRTTTTTCATACATAAAAAATAGAAAGAGCTATAAAGTAACCCTTCAATTTCAATAATTTATACTTAAAATATAAAATTTTATTAACCACAGCCAAATATTTTTTTAATCAAAAAATTTTCAGCGGTGTGAAGACCAAGACGAAAACCGCCCCCGCCCGCCCCCCGGACTTTGGCTCGAAATTCCGCGGAGGTAAAATGCACTAGCCCTTATCATTCCGGAAATTGCGGTCCCAAACACAGACTGATACCCTAATCTCCCTAATTACTTCCTTACTCTATTTCAGGATGCGATTCCGAACCCCCCAAACCTCAAAATGCAGGAATTCGTTGCTCGCAATACAGCGGTTGTCGCGCTGATTGCGAAAATCTTTATCAATTTCCTAACGGCGCCACACAACTATTTATCACATGCGAAAATGGCCGGTGGATAATCGAGGGAGGAATGTGGCCATATGTGCCTTCCTGTCAACGTAATTTTATCAAAAAAAAAAAAAAGATAAACATAACTCAAACGCAATTTCAGCGATTTGCGCCCCTCCATGCCAGAATAATGGCATTTGTGTGGCACCAAATCAGTGCCAATGCCCGGAAAATTTCTCAGGACCGTACTGCGAATACGAGGAGAGGCCCTGCATGAATTATCCAGTACTGCCCACAAACTCGCGCCGCTCCTGCTCACACAAGTAATTCAATTAGTCCAAATTCAAATTAATTACCTTTAATTATTTTAAGGACATGTACCGTGTCGTGTTTACACGGCCACCAATTCCCGGATGGTTCAGCCATTGCAACCATTTCATGCAAAAACGGTTTTTGGGTCCCCGATAAAGACAAGTGGAAACAATTACCCGACTGCGAACGTAAATAATTAATTAAAACCAAAATTACAATTAATTAGAATTAAATAAATTGCAGCTACTTGTAATCCGCCATGTCTAAATGGGGGCAACTGTCTTTCGTTCAATCGGTGCCAATGTCCACAAGACTTTCGAGGGCCCCAATGCCAGTACAGTATGTATTAATTATAATTTAATTAGTTAATTAAACTGATTGTTGATAATAAACAGGGACTGATAATTGTGACCCTCACAAACTCCTGTTTAATGGGGGCTATAACTGCTCCGGGGACCAAACAAGTTTCAGTTGCTCCTTGCACTGTCCTGAAGGAATGAATTTTGACTCAACCCCTTCATATCTTTATTCTTGTTTGTACGAAGAAGCCACGTTTAAGCCACAACCAATCCCCCAATGCATTTTTCGTAATAATTTAATTTTTGTAATTGATCTAAATTAATTCAATTTATTTCAGCCGATGGTGTTTCAGGAACAATACGACAAACCTCCTCACACAATTATTACCAAGTGTCAAATCATTCAGGCTTCAATTTAAAAAGTCTTTCAGTAAATGGCTTACCTGATGTTTCTTATATTCCAGCGGGTCAAAGATGGCACTCATATGTAATTTTTTTCGTGTTTTGGATTTAAAAATCATAAGATTTATTTTTAGGATCTTGGAATGTCAGGAAAACAGTATTATGACACTTCCAATGAACTTAAATTTGCAACAGTTAGTCCCTACAACCAACAAGCAAACCTAATTTTTGTCCAAGAAAAATTACCAGAACCTGGGATTTGCGTGACTTGGCAAGGCACTCATTATAAAACATTTGACGGAAAAGTCTTCAGTTTTGACTCGAAATGTGCTCACACTCTTGTGCAAGACTCCACAGATAACACTTTTAGCGTCGTTGTCCAAAATGACCCACAGTGTTATCAAAATCCTTTAGATTGTTTCAGAATCATTCGAATTTATTTTGATAAGAAAGAGTATATTTTGCGGAGGTCGGCCGAAGGCCCTATTTTCGGCACCTCGAAAAAACGGCTCCCGATCCCTGGACAACTCCCGGGATTACGAATTGAAATGTCTGCTCATTACATTATTGTGTCCTTGGATGCCGTTGGTTCAAAAATAAAGTGGGATGGCATGGTAATTTTTTGAAATTTTTGGCCCCCCCATTCAAATATTTCTCTAGCAATTGGTCCAAGTTGAAGTCTCGGAAAGCCTCTGGAACCGCACTCAAGGCTTATGTGGCACCATTGACGGCGATGTCTCCAACGATTTGATTAATAAAAATGGCCACAAACCGCAAACAATCTCAAATTTTGCCTCAAGTTGGAAAATAGAGAGTTTGGAAGAAGAGTGTAACGACGTTCCCTCAGAAGAACACACTTGTGTGGATAACGGAATTGAGGGTTCCAAGAGTCAYCAAGCTACYCTCTTTTGCAAGAAATTGTTAAATGACCAAAGGTTTACCCCCTGYCACGGAGTTGTGGAYRTTAACCTTCTTCTGGAAGCCTGTCGGTGGGACTTTTGCGGGTGCAAAAATCAGGACCCTTCAGTCTGTGCTTGCGAAACTATGAATGTCTATGTGAGGGCTTGCGCCTACAAGGGGGTCAACAATTTGGCAACGTGGAGGGATGAAAACACTTGTCGTGAGTAATTTATTATATTATTTGTTTCATTATTTTTKAYGATATTTAACAAAAAAAGGCAATAACAATGTGATCTTCGACATAAYTGAGTGTTTTTTCRGCTTATTTTTTACGGAATTTTGCAAAATAATTGCGTTTTAGACTGTGAAAGGTGTTGAAATGCTAGATAAAGACAAAAACATAGTTATATATTATACAAGACGATAAAATTGAATTTTATCTTTGAGAGCAATTTGCTCTAATATTTGCGCTAATATGCTCGAAAAGATAATGAAAATTTTATCGTCGTGTACAATATAAAATTTTATTTAATCCTCACTAATTTTGTAGTCAATTTGGTCGATATTTATTTAGGTCAAAGTAAAATTMAACAATGAAATCTAATGTCAAAGATCGTTAGAAACTAACAACYGCAGATATACTACAATGGATGTATTTTTAAAATTTCATTTTAACATGAAGAAAAGCGTAGATAAAATTCAATTTTAACATAGAGGATTGAATAAATGTAATTTTTGACTTAATTTCATAGTTTTTTGTCCTATTTTGACCTAAAATTTTACAAAATAATTGCGTTTTAGCCTAAAAAACTGTATTAAAACGCTTAAAAATTATGTAATTGTTAACTTAATTGCAGGATTTTGCCATAATTTCGCGTTTCTATCTGAAAAATGGCACAAATAAATAAATAATTTTCGGTGTGATTAGGTGTTTTTCGATTTATTTTTTAAGTAATTTTCCAAAATAATTGACTTTTTGACTGAAAAATGTGTTAAAACGCTGAAAAAAGAAGGTATTTGCATCGTTTTCGGCTTAGTTTTAACGTAATGTTAATAAATTTCTGGATTTCTTGTTGAAACCGTGGTAGAAAATGATAAAAAAAGTAACTTTCCGTCTGATTGGATGGTTTTTCGGCTTATTTTATAAAGTAATTTTGTAAAATAATTGCGTTTTAGACTGTGAAAGGTGTTAAAATGCTAGATAAAGACAAAAACAATGTAATTTTTGACTTAATTTCATAGTTTTTCGCCTTATTTTGAGTTAAAATTTTACAAAATAATTGCGTTTTAGCCTAAAAAACTGTATTAAAACACTCAAAAATTATGTAATTGTTAACTTAATTGCATGGTTTTGACATAATTACGCAAATTAGTTGCGTTTCTACCTCAAAAATGGCACAAATAATTTTCGGTCTAACTTAAGGTGTTATTATTCAAGTTACTTTCCAAAATAATTGAGTTTTTGGCTGAAAAATGTGCTAAAACGCTGCAAAAAGGCAAAAGTAATGGTATTTACGTCGTTTTCGGCTTAGTTTTGACGTAATGTTAGTAAATTTCTGGGTTTCTTGTTGCAACCGTGTGCTAAAAAATGGCAAAAAAGTAACTTTCCGTCTGGTGGTTTTTCGGCTTATTTTTGAAGTAATTTTGTAAGATAATTGTGTTTTAGACTGTGAAAGGTGTTAAAATGCTAGATAAAGACAAAAACAATGTAATTTTTGACTTAATTTCATAATTTTTTGCCTTATTTTGAACAAACTAATTGCGTTTTAGTTTAAAAAACTGTATTAAAACACTCAAAAATTATGTACCTAATTGTTAACTTAATTGCATGGTTTTCACATAATTTCGCAAATTARTTGCGTTTCTATATCAAAAATACCACAGTGAATGTGTGCTAGAAACTACCAAAAAAGTAACTTTCTGTCTGATTGGATGATTCTTCCGCTTATTTTTGAAGTAATTGTGAAAAATAATTAATGTTTTGGCTGAAAACTGTGCTAAAATACACAAACATGGCATAAATATAGTTATTTTTGTTACAAGTACCTAAATTACAGTTTTTTCGAACAAATCGTCCGTAAGAACTTTTTAGGTATGTGTTCGTGTTCTCCTATTTTTTTGTATTCGCTTCCAAAAATAGTTATTTTACGGAAACGTTTTAGTCCATAAAATCCAAAAAATACTTATTTTATACATACATATAGCTATTTTTGGGAACGTATACAAAAAAATACAATTTTCGGTCTGTTTTTCGGATTGTTTTTAAAATAATTTTGCAAAATAATTGAGTTTTTGGCTGAAAAACGTGATAAAACGCTCAAAAAAAGACAAAAATAATGTTGTCTTTGACGTAATTGAATGTAGTTTTTTAATATTGTCACTAAATTACTGCGTTTCTGGGTGAAAAACGTGCTAAAACGTCCAAAAATAGCAAAGACAATGTAATTTTCGTAGTGGTTAAATGGGTAGTTTATTGGCTTATTTTTTAAATAATTTTGTAAATTAATTGAGTAGCTGGCTAGAAATGACCTACAGTTATCCATTTATTTATAGTAGTTGCGTTAAAAAAAAATACAGAACTCAAAAACAAAAGGAATTTTTCAACAAGTGATAACATTTTTGATAGTACTTTATTTTTCACCAAAAATTTTATTCTGAAAAATATAAATGCTTGTTTGGAAAAATCACACCGCTGTGTTAAAAAATTCCAGCTATGCAATGCACTGGAGGCAAAATCTACAAACCTTGCGCCCCCCTGACCGGCCAACCCGTCTGCGGGTCCACATCCGAGCACGAAGACGACAAAGAGGGTTGCGTTGAAGGGTGTTACTGCCCCCCTGGAACAGTATTGCATGAAAACAAGTGTATAACTCGCGACAAGTGCCCTTGTCGACTCCGCACCAAACTRTTCCCCCCAGGAGCTGAAGTTCCCAAAGAGTGCAATACTTGCACTTGCAGCGAAGGCAAATGGGTTTGCACCCAGTTGTCTTGCGGTTCCAGATGTGCAGCAGTTGGTGAYCCCCATTATGTCACTTTTGACGGCAAAAGATATGATTTTATGGGGCAGTGTTCTTACTATTTGGTCAAGACTGARTCTTTTTCGATCGAAGCGGAAAATGTTGCATGTTCTGGGGCTATTTCGCAGGCRATGAATTTGCCAGCTTCCCTGGCAGAAGGGTTGCCTTCGTGTACTAAAACCGTGACTTTGAGGGTTGAAGGTCAGGTTATTAAACTCAAACAAAACCATGATMTTGTTGTAAATGGGCAAGACGTGACGAGGATTCCCTACCAAATCGGAAATGTTACGATTAGGAGTGTTTCGTCGATATTTTTGCAAGGTTTCACAAAACGTATTTTTTGGGCAATTTTCCGAATTCTTTTTTCTAGTTGAGCTCCCAAGTGGTGTGCAGGTTTGGTGGGACGGCGTTACCCGTGCCTACATCGACATTCCTGCCAACTTCCGGGAAAAAACCAAAGGCCTCTGTGGCACTTTTAACCACAACCAAAAAGACGATTTTCTCACCCCTGAAAACGATATCGAACAAAGTGTCATCCCATTCGCCAATAAATGGAAAACGAGTGAAAAATGTAACGACATCCCTGATATCCTCAAATCCCACCCTTGCAGTTCCAATATTCACAACCAGCCAACGGCCGAAAAGCACTGCCAAAAGCTCAAATCCGAATTTTTTGCTCCTTGTCATTGGATTGTCGACCCCGAGCCTTACTACCAGGACTGTCTCTATGATATGTGTTCTTGTGAGTTCAAAATTGCGAAATGTTTGTGCCCTACTGTGGCGGCCTATGCTGAGGAGTGCTCGAGACAAGGGGTAAAAATATCGTGGAGGGACAGTGTGAGGGAATGTGGAGTGCATTGTCCAGCAGGACAAAAGTACCAAGTTTGCGGGAATTCGTGCACAAGGACGTGTTTTGATGTAGCCACAAGGTAACTAAATGAGATTTTGAATATTATAATAAAAGAAAAATAAAAAATACCGTTTTCACGTGGGTTTACACTACTCCAGAAAATTAAAGGAACAAAAATTTTTCCTAATTTTTTTGGTGATTTTTGAAAGGCAGTACCTCAGTGATAAATGGTCGTATTTAGATAAAAAAAAAACTGTTATGAAGCTTTAAGTTTCTAGTTTTGAGATTTTTTGGTAAAAAAAAATTGTGCTACGGTTACCACGCAATCCTAAGTAATATTGTGAGAAAAAAATCTAAATTTTCTTGTTTTTGTTTTTGATCCACGGACGTCGGGAATTTTTTTAATTAAGTCAATGCATAGGCCGGATAGCATGTTCGTTCACCTTTAGTATGCTTTTTTCACGTCAATTTGTCGCTGAGATATTTGACTTTAAATGAAATAGGATCATTTTGTCTTTGATCATCGATACCTCAGCAACCAATGACCATACAGAGAATATAAGAATAGTGTCAAAAACTAGAATAAATGTCTTACAAGATCCTTTATGATTTTTGAAAAATATATTTTTTTCACCTTCAACATGAATTTAAAGAAA